GAAGCTGTGTTGACTCCAGAGCGTACTTTCTGAAACTGATGAAAGCCTGGTGGAAGAGACGAGCTGTGGACACACACACAGCCAGAAGCACCACACAACAGCATCAATAACATGGTCAGAAAGAGAAAAAAGACCACATGAATGCCTTATTGGTTACTGTATTAGTGATTTACAAATGTTGAAAATAAGTAAATACTAATAGTGTCTGGATCTGTCAGCGCCCCCAGACGGATTTTTAAAACAGTTCCTACAGATAAAACCCTGAATCTAATCTTTCCTTGTAAAAAATAGAGACATTACGTGTTCTACTAATCTGTTTGTAGCATTTTAAGGTAAAGTTGAACTATGATTAAATAACACTTTAACTTTAACAAGCATAGAACAAACAATAATGTGCATTTTCTCACCATCCAGGCCATGCTCTGCTGCCAGCTTCTGCATCTCCTTTCTTTTGTAAAAGCGGTTCAAAACTTTAAGTAACTCGGCTGAATCAAAAACACAGAACATGTTAATTTAATAAAAAAATCTCCCAACGACACAGCAATAAACAATATGCATGTGAAAATACTTAAACTTTCTGTTTTCGATTCTAGCTTCTTTTATTGACCTTTGTTAAGTGGCTGTGACAGCTCTACTCCAACACTTCCATCTGCAGCGAAGTCGGTTTTTACAGAAACGGGGACAAACAGTGAAGTGTCCGGTGATTTCGGGGGGCAGCTATTGGAGGAAACATTTCTTCTACAGTCTAAAGAAGCAGCTTCGTTGTGTCTCTGTAGCAAACCAGGGGAGGCATGGAAGAATCCGCAGGCGGGGATGCGAGTAGACCGGCGATTAAAGTGACGCAGCAGGCGCGAAAACACAGTCAAACAGCTGTTAACAGACATGGCGAAGCTCCAGATGCTGGTTCCAACTGAGTGCTACATCCAAAAATGTTTTACTGTGGCTCCATTGTCTTTGGTAGGAATAAAAACGAACATAACAACAACATGAACAGAGCAAGGACACACATTAATCTGTCTTCCTGTTTAAACAACGTGGAGAAGGACCTATCCCGTAATAGCTGACCACAAATATGCCTGCAATATATTCTTGATAAAAGTTTTTTTTTAAAACGTTAAAAAAAATAACATACGGTCAACAAAACATAAAATATTTCAAATAGTTTACATATGTCAAAACAGATAAAAATATAATGATTCTTTTTTTAAACAATTACAAAGAAGAAAAACAAATTCTTATGTTGTGTTACATGTGGTTGTCTCTCCTGCACTTGTTTATTATTATTATTATTATTATTATTATTATTATTATCCATCCACCCATTTTCATCTGCTTATCCGTTACCGGGTCGCGGGGGCAAATAAAAAAAATTCTCAAATAGATCGCATTTAATTGATCGTGCTAAGAACTTTAAAAAAAACGCCCATTGAGATGACTTACTTGACTACGTTTTATATCATTACAATTTGAATTAAGGAAGAAATGTAATATGATGGGGTCATTCTTTTGTACAAAACTAACATTTTAACAGCAGTGTGCAAGTTTAAGAAAACCAAAAAACCATGTTAGACGATACGCCATTAAAACGCATGCCTATTGGTTGGGATATCAACGGCAAGCAGCGAGAAGCAATGTGACGTCAGGGCGATGTCGCTGATTGACGTCGACCTGGTAAAATAAATTAATTAAACGTTTCACAGGATTCAGTATAAATCTGCTTTATTTATTATTTGCTTGAGCTATACATTACAGTTGGTGTGTGTATTTATACACACACGATCTTTCTCTCTCTCACACACACACACACCAACAAGTTACACGCACACAGAAAGGCATGATTGACAGTTTAGAGATTAACATGCAGTATTTAAGACAGGGTCAAAGAGAGCTTCATTACCACAGAAGGTATTCAAAGTACAGCAAAACAAGCCCCGTTTGTATACAGTTCAGAAAGACAAACTATATCGCACATATTTGACAGAAAGCAAAAAAAACAAACAACAAAAAACCAACAGAAATAATAATAATAATAAAAAAACAAGACATGGAAGACAAGGTGACACTGCTGTGAAGGAGTAGAGAAAGGTTTGACAATTTGAGTGTTTAGCCACCAAATGAATCCAACATTTAATGTGAAAGAATAAGGCAAAAATATATATTGAACCAAATGGTCACATTAAAGTAGGTAGTGATGTGTACAAAACTATATAATGTTGTTCACAGGAAAAGAAGATCTGTAAAGCGAAGTTGTCCATGAGTGATTTTTCATTTGAGCTTTCATGCCAACTTGGTTAAGCATTGAAAAGAAACGTGCAAAACTTGTCACAGATTCGAACGTTCAATCACAGACAGGCTGATGACATCAATTAAACTTTTGTCAGGGGAGAGATAGTGAGCATAGAATGTGACCAGGTGGGGTTTGGTTTTTTTGTACAGCAAAGGACCAGCATTTCATGAAGGAAGTGTGGTCCACTGTCACGCTCCAGCATTACTTCAACTGTGCATTGAGGAAGTGTGGTCCACTGTCACGCTCCAACATTACTTCAACTGTGCATTGCTGAGTCTGAGGCTGAGCCTTGTGGACAGAAGCATCATTTAAACACACTTGTCATTAAAAAAATAATTAATGTACAGACAAACAGCATTCAAAAACAGGTGAGTGGGGTGGAGGCGCAATCTTGTAGAGGTGCCGAGTGCTGCAGCGTGGGCCAACCGTTCCAGGTCCACTCTACTCTGTGTGAGAACTTCAGTGACACTTGTTTGTGTTTTACAGTATATTGATCCTTTCTGCTGCTTCAAAAAAGCCATTCAACCGCATCAAAATCAAGGAGAGTCAGTTAGTGTCATTCTGTTAAATCCCCACTGAGTAATATATTTAACTGTAAGTTTGAATTAAATTCTTCTTGATTATTAAAGAACTTGACATAACACGCCTAAAAACCTAGACCCTCAAATTTCTTCAAATACCATCGAAATAAGTTGGTGTTTAAAAATAGTAACAATAAATTTAGGTTCCCAGTTTCTAATTAACTGAAGTCACTAAGACTTCCACCTGTGGAACACGGAGGATACATTTTTCTTCACAGAGACCATATAACATTTTTGGCATTTCTGAAGAGCTCTTATGATCACTTTGCAAGACTAATAATTTATAAGTTACAGTTATCAAAGATAACTGTGAGAGAAATAGCAAATAAAACAGATCATAGTTATGAATGACAACAAACTTCTAATAATTAGCATAACTTTTTGGTAGATTTGGTAAAATTTGGTCACTCCGCACAATGTCTTTGTAGATGTAGATAAAATAATGTCAAGTTTTCTGTTTCTGCAATAAATGTGATTGACCTCAGTTTACAGTTTGTTTTTGTTGTTTTTTTTAAACCAACAAGCAAAAATTCTATTATATGGATATCATTGGACTAACTAACAAAGAAGCCTGGAAAAAAAACAAACATGTCAGTTTTCTATTTTTGAGGTGACTTAGAAACCGACTGGCTTTTTTGTCCAGTTCTTGTATTTTTTTATAATTACATTTTACCTGAAAAGTTTCAAAACCTTTGTAACACATTTTGCTAAACCCAGTAGCAGCTGTAAAATTCTAACCAGAACAGAGTGTCATTTAACCTTGTTTAGATATACTGTGTATGTGCAAGTGTATTAAATGACGAATTGCAGCTTATCCTGTCTTTAAAGATGATTTGATTAGCTTTGACATATTGAACCAGCGTTCGTTTACGATTTAAAATTGAAGGTACATTTTCTTTGGATGGGAACAGGATAATATCAAGAAAAATATTCTCTTATTTCAGGGCAAAGTAACAAAGTTTGTGTGGCATTTTGTTTGTTTAAACATTCAGCACGAAGGAGACATTATGGCTTCACTCTTGTGTGTGTTTTCAGTTCGAGACACCTGGATTTAACAGGCTAGGTAGCTTAGATTTTGCGCTCTTGCCGTGAAGGTTAGCATTCAGCAGACGTGTGCGACTCAGACTTCTTTATTCCTGGAGTAATGGAGGCGAGGCAGCTCACATAGGAGGATGTGACCTGGTCAGGGAGAAGGAGGTGAGGAAGGGTCTGTGGGTGTGTTGGATGTTTGTTCATGTACAGTATGTCTCTCAGTCCAGACAGAACTTGGGACAGCTCTCACACCTCGGGCTGTTCAGTTGTGAAGAGTCAGGGAAGTGTCTGTGTCTGTGTTTGTAGTTTTAAGTTCATAGGATTTCACCCTCACATTTCTGGTTGCTCTGCACTAACGGACTCAGTGCGGGACTCGGTGCGGGACTCGGGGGACTCGTAACGTTGGTGGAAGTTTCTTTTCCTGATCTTCTCCGGGGCTTTTCGCCACAAAACGATTTCCTGCACAAAAGAAATGGAAACCAATGACTTTCAGATGGAAGTCTTTAACGGACAATATGAATTCAAAAGACAACAAACTCTACAATATTCTATACTACAACACTTAAACTGTCCGTGTGTGTGTTCATGTCACCTGTTGTTTGAAGTATCTTCTATCCTCTTCATCAACCAGCACCAGGTTCAGGAAGTAACGCACAGAAAATTTCTTGTTGACGTCCCTCATGGTGGGTGTCAAGTCATAGCCTGACAGAAATGAAACAGTAGGTGGACTGTTATTAAAAAAAACAAACCCAAACAGTCTTTCAGTCTGGTACCATCCAGTATCTCTTCTGAGTGATTTAATCTTATGAGGACATTTTTAACACTCATCTCTCATTAGCTCTGAATTCAAACTCAGTTTATTTGTAAGTGGTTTGAGGACACATGTTATTCCTAAATACAAATCCGTGAGCTTCTCAAAATGTGATCTGTCCTCAGAGTGAATTAGAGATTCTTCTCTGACGACACAGTGGGGTAAAGTGGATTGAATCTGGACGTAGGAGATGGGTCCATAGGAATTTCAATGACAAACATTTGTTCTGAACAGTGTCCACATAAGATGGGATCACTCAGGGTAGATGTTAATATCACTGATGTCATCTGGAGAGAAGAAGACAGTTCCTACCAGCCAGGAACAGTCTGATGGGGATTGACTCTCCTTTAACCGGAGCTCCATCCATGATCTCATACTTAGCAACAGTCTCTGTTTCAGTGGACGTGCTGGGACCTAAAAATGTTAAAAACAAAGGATAGGACGTGTTTAAAAAAAAAAATTTGCATACAGAAGTTGTGGTTTGGTGAACTACAGAACTGAACAACAGGCAGCAGAAAAAGACAAAATTGCAAACATCAAAAACAGATTACATCACGACATGGTTGTTTAGTTTTAACCCAGCTTCTATGCAAAAACAGATTACATCACGACATGGTTTAGTTTTAACCCAGCTTCTATGGATCAAATAATAAAATCTGAAGAACAACATTAGCAGCATTCAGCCACTGATGACTCACCGATGCCTGTTATCTCCTTTTTGATGAGCTGCAGCTCCATGTGCTGGATTTTAATCCTCACCAGCAGGAAGTAGATTTTTCCAACAATCACATCTTTCAGGTGATATCTACAAAACAGACACATCGAGGGGAAACTGCTGAAGTGAAAGATGAAAGCTTAAAGGTGTTATATTTCATTTGAAAGATTGTCTGTATTTCAGATGTCAGATGTTTGAGCTCTCACTTGGATTTATTGTATTCAAACTCGATGTGAAGACAGTCTTCGATGCCGACCTCCATCTTGATTGAATTGTTGACATCTGGGTAGGTGGCCAACTGGTGGACAATTAACTCGTATTCCTTCACCAAGTCAGACAGGCGGCGAACTATTGTCACCCTGAGAAAGTACCTGAAAGAAAAAGAAGAAAGAACTTTCACATACCAGCCTCATTGTTCACACCATCTTTTATACAGGGCAGACATCAGGGTATACAGCCAAACTCTAGTTTTGCAGTGTTTTACCTTAGCCTGACGTTGGCTCCGGTGTAAGACTCGTAGGGCTTTTCCACTTGCATGAACTCAAAGTCATAGCTTCTGTTCTGAGTGAGTTCTCCTGGTAGAGCCAGTTCCTTCACAAGGTCCACAAATTCATGGGTGTTGCTCTTATCAGAGAACAGCTCTGGAAAAAAAAGACAGTGCAGCAGTAACAGATATGCACCTGTATATAAATACTACTAATTACTCAGAATCATTAAAAACGTAGAAAAAAAAAAGCAACAACTCGTTGCATTAAAGAGGTTTCACATGACGACTGCATGTGACCTCCATGTGCTCTGTTAAACCTGTTGGGTCACATGTGGAAAATCCTTCAGTTTTATTTGCAGATTTCCTGCTGTGAAATCTTAACCTCGTTCATTAGGATGTTAAAATAGTAAAGTCAGTTTACACAAACTGTAACTAACCTTTACCTTTGGTCATTAAAGGCAACAACTACCTTACGCATGGAGAGTAAAGGGAGTGGGGGAGTGAACAGAGAGACTGTGGCAGCATCAGTCCGGCTCACCTATCTGTCCGACAAACTCGATGCGGATTCCCTGATGCTCCAGCCGCTTTCCCCCCTGTTTCACATTTAGATTCACCTGCAGAGAATATGCCACAGTTATACTAAACAATAATAAAAAAACATGACAACCCTGTGAGCTGTAGTTTGTTATGACGTACCTTTCCGGACACAGACTCTCCGTCATAGAATAAATAGTGTTTTTCTACTTTCCCATCGTCCGTCTTCAACTCAGCCGTCTTCCTGTTTTCGGCATCGTTCAGCAGCACGTCAATCTCACACACCGGCCCAAACAAACCTCCCAGGAAACTCTGGGAAACAAAACAGAAACAAACAAAAAAAGAGAATGACGCTTATATTTAATTGCTATTTAAAATGTTAAAAGGTCTGCTGTTTTAGTTCAACAGTTTTTCATGTTTTATAAAGCACTGGTCTAATCAAGTTTTTGGTCTTCGGGTCCTGATTGTTTGGGGCTGGAGTTTAAGTGCAACTCCTGGCATTTTATACACAAGACGAGTTACTACAGATCCTATGTCAACTCTTAGCCCAACTGTGTGTGTCCCAATTTTTGTAACCTTAAATAATTTTAACACCATATTTGATGTAAGACTATATTCAGGTTCAAGCTGAACAAAGGTCAGTTTTTATGTGTGAGCCACTAAACAGCTGTTTAGGTTCCCACCTGCTGCAGGGGGCGGAGGGTGATGCTGCTATGCCTAAAAATTCCAAACAATAAATATAGTAGAATAAATAATAAAAAGCTCGACTAAGACTCTTTAATTCCACTGTCTTAAAAACAAAAATTCCACATTATATTTGACTCCTTATATTTAAATCTGGGGATTTGTATTTGCACAAAACCTGAAAAGGACCTTTGGTTCTTTTTATGTTATTTCGCCTAACTATTTGATTGTTATTTAAATTATTATATATTTTAATGTGTAAATGTTTTTGAGTTGGTGGGTGTGATGAAACAAAAAAAATTTCATGTCTATAATATAATGAGTGGTGTGCGCAGTGCAGGGAGGCAGACCTGGGGTCACCAAACCATTCAAGCACTAATCAATGAGCTTTAAAACAATAACCATGACTGATGTGATAACTTATCATCATTGCAGGGTAACAAAATTCCCCCCTAACTAATTTGCACAATCTCACATGATCCAACTTGCATTTGCAGTAAATCTATTCTGTTATTTCTTGGCTTTCGATTCAATGATGAAAAACTATATAAAAAAAAAATATGGCCAGTGTCAGGTAGCTGCCTGGAGGATGAGCAACATATCCTTGGCGACAAACCAAAAATTAATAATTATAAATGACTTGACCCAGTCTAGAACTGAAGTACGACACTGTACGGAAATGGACCACAAAGTTGCAGCTGATAGAAAAGAAAACTCCAGGACAGAATGAAATCTGATAAGAACAACCTTGACAATAAAGACACGTCACGTCATGTCATTTGGTCTGATGAAATAATCACAGCACTAGTTTTGGAAAGCAAAAAAGGCACAGAGAATACTGTCCCCCAAATGAAAAACAAGACGTTTTACATTATTATAAAGATGCCTTCATTCACTGTAGAAACAAATATTAGTCTGGAACTTTTTCATAAGAACAATAATTACAATCTTAATGAATCATTTATGAGGAATTCAAAGTGAATGTTAACATATGAACCTGTAAAAAAAGGCCTAATATCCCATAGGCTTGTACAGCGAGCTTTCTATTTTTAGAACTTTTTTGAATTTTGCTACATTATTTTGTCTCTGAATGCAAAGAGGGAAAATAAAACTTCCATTGATACTGTTAGAAAAAGCTTTGATTTGCATAACGCACTTTAAAATTAGATTAAAAAATTTGAAGTTTAGATATTTATCTTTAACTGACAAGAATTCAGCATTCAACAGCTCAAATCATGAACCTAAAATTACTGCTGGGAGTTGAAGAGCTGTTTTGATTTGTGATTCTACAACAACACAGTGCTAGCGTCAGTTAGCAGCTAGATTTCTGCCATTCATTGGGTGCAGCTACAAAGGGGACAGTTGTTAAAAGTTAATCGTCACTTTTAGATAAATTAAGAGATGTAATAACAGACGACTACAGCTGCCGTATCAACGACAGGTCACATCCGAGGTGAGACCGAAAGCAGGACGGCCTCACAGAAACTGAAGCTAACTCCCCGTTAGCTTCCCCGGCTGTTAGAAATGTAAGGCAGCTCCTGTCAGTATGAGCAGGGACTATATTTTATAAAACTACATAAAATGTTCGATAAAGCCGGTTGTCGGTTCTGTGAAGTTAAAATGCTGTACTTTTATATATTTTTGTGCACTCACCATGTCGACCGTGTGGATACTTGAAGCTAACGGCTAGCCTCGCTCCCAGCAGCCTGAGTGACAGAACATGAACCAGGAGAGAGTCTGGAAGCTTAGAGTCATGTGACACGGGTCATGTGCGGGGAGAGTGGGGTGGGGCAGGGTGTGGTGGGAAACGAAGGGGAAATCACGGACGTCATAAAATCCATAAAATCCATATATTCTTATTTATTTATTTTTTTACAATACATCGGTGTTCAAACCCATGGATCTACAGAGAACAGGAAGTAGAAGAATTCTAAAGCTGGAGTTTACAACCAAAGGTTTGAAGATACTGACAATAATAAAAAAAAGTTGTCCTTTTTTCTAAAGAATTAAACATTTTTCTCTTATGCTCTTATAATTCTATACTAGTGTTTCAAATACACTAGACTGTATTTTAAAGTTTGGCAGACTAGTGTTTCAAATACACTAGACTGTAAGTTTGGCAGAAAGAACCCGTGATTATGTGCATAAAAACAAACGGCTTCCACGGAGCCAAGACGCAACGAAACATTAGCTCAAGCATGGCTTTGATATTTGCATATGTATGAATAGGAAATTGGTTATTTAGATTTTAATAAGCTTAAAGTTACATTAAAAGAGCTCAAAGTTAGCCATGATTGGTGAAGTAAAACTGATATTCAGAAGTGTAGTCAAACTTCAATAAACAACAAACACTGGATGCAGTATGAAAATCTTTATAAATTCTTTATTAATCAAGGTATTTCAAATTCAAATCAGACAACACTGAGCTTGGTGGTAAATGTAACACGTGCAGTATACCATATTTTGATGTTCCAGCTCACAGTGGTTAAGATTGCATTGAATCCTGAAGGGTGTTTTGGGGTTTGTTCCCCAAAACAAGGCTTCTTAATACTGAGCAATAATAAAGTGTCTCAACAGTCAATTCTCTGATGGGATTAAATCACATACAGTACATAGGTTTCTTTTTCTTTTCTTTTTTTTTTGCATAGAATGAACACTGCCTGAACAGTCGTCATATTGCACTAATTTTACAAATCTTTCTTGGAATATTTAAAACTAAATATAAAAACATATTTCCAATTTACAAATCTTTTCCAAAAAGACAATAGTCACTCAAAGTGAATTACGTCACATTGACACTGATGTCAGCTGTATTTAAGATTGGCAGATTTAGCAGAGCTTTACATTTTTAACCACTGGTGAATATAGTTAATTATGTCAATAGCAAAGAGAATACAAAATTATGTTCAGACTTGATCCATTTCAAGGCAGACAAGGGTTTCCGCCACCAGGTGGCGATATAATATTTGCTTGGCTAATTCAATGTACAGAATAAAAACAAGTCTGACGTCGTCCTCAGTACTGAGTGAGGGCCTGTTCATTTTACAGCTTCAGAAGGTGGTTGTCTCTTAGTTCCTGCTCAGCTGGTTGGCCCCATCTGACATGGGTCTGTGGTGGCGAAACCATCTCAAGAACTTCTTATTATCAACTGTGAGGGGGAAACAAATGTACAGATGAGCTGGAGAAAACTATATCACATACTTCAAACCAAAGTTGGGACGTGAAACATTGAAATGACCTTTGTACAGATTCAGGTGCTTCTCGCTCCATGGCTCTCCAGAGCCTGTGTCAGTTTCCCCATTCCCAGAAGGCTGCTCTACAAATGAACCTTCAGCTGCCGAGCCTTCATAAAATCCAGAACTTTCTTCCTCAGGCAGATAAATCAAAGCTGACCCCGCCTCATCTCCCAGCATCTCCTCGTCCTCTTCCTCAGTCTGTGGCTTTTCATCCTCCACAGGTTCTGCCTCCCTGGAAGTAATACAAAATAATATGTCAATGACAGGACTTTGATTTTTGGTGTATCGTCACCAACAGTATATCTCTGGTACCTCAATGTTTTTTATGGCTATTGGGCAGTGGTCGAGGAGTTGGCCCACGGGCCACTTGTTGATAATCACTGCTCTACGGACTGGTCTTAGTGAATACTTTATTAATAAATTGTCATTGTACTGGCTAGAAACTTTAGACAAATGTTCTTCTAGAGTCTTGCTTTGTTCATCTATAATCATACCAGAGCTAAATTCCAGCGCTTCAGACAGTGATGGCAGGGCCTGAGGATTTCTTTAAAAACATAACTTAAGGGCAACCTAGATCATTGGGGAAAAGCACTTTTCACTGAAAGTGTTATTGGGGAAAAGCACTTTTCACTGAAAGTTGTAAAGTGTTCATCTAGTGAATAACAGTAAAAGAAGAGTCACATGCCAACATAACTGTAGGTCTTAGCTATTACCTTGTGTAGTCAGTAATGTAAAAATATTTACACCTAAAAGTGCAGAACATTTTTTGACTCAGAACAATAGACCAGATGCAGCAGTCCACCAGGCCACTTCCTTTTGACACTTCCCCCTGGCTTCCTGTTGGAGGAGAGCTGCAAGAGCAGGGGTTGCTGCTGCTGCTGCTGCTGCTGCAATGTTTTATGAAACAACCTCAAGGGGTTGTAGATGTCAGGGCACATGATGTGAGCTGGTGTAAACTGCTGACTGACAACGGATCAAACATCTGATTGTGTGCGTCAGTGAGACATTTAAGACGGGAAATTGAGGTGACCTGACAGTGACACACAGGAAAAGATAAAACTAGTTTTCCTACATTTTTATTAAAAAACTGTTTCAAACTGTCAAGTAATAACGACCACTGAGTTTTAACATTCTTTCAGTACCACCTGTTTCACCAGGTTCAAAGTGTTTCTTGCTTTGGTTTTGAAAACTTTGTTGACACTGTTGGCATGTCAGTTTCTGTGGATTTGTAACCTCCAAGTGCCTCCTACTACCTGGCTTATCGATAGACCGTTCGTCTTCAGCCACCACCTACTCTCTAAATTCACACTAGGGAAAAGCAGCTGGTTTACACATAGGTAAGTTATGCAGTGGGTCGACTTTTTTTCAGAATACAGTTTCACTACTCAGTTTCGGGTCGACTTTTTTTCAGAATACAGTTTTCAGAATATTCAGCGAAATATCCTATAATTCCAGGAAGCTTTTATCACAGTTGCTCAGAAAGCCAGCTGACAATAATAGGAAATACATGTCACTGATTATGTTAACATTTGTGGGCCAAGAATAAGTATCAGCTCTGCTGCAGCTCTGACCAGAGCTAGAATTAGTTACAAAAGTGAGAAAAAAAACCTTATGATTAAAAGGAAAAGTATTTTAATAAGATCATGTTTCTCTCTTATAAAGGGTATTTTGGGGGGGGGGTTCTCACTAAAAGACTTCTCTGAATCCATTCAAAATAGGGGGAAGTGAAACAAAACTTGCTTTTTAAAATGTACATTCCATTTTCCCCAACTCTGGGTGAAAGCAAAAATAAAAAAGGTTCATGAAATTCTGCTGTCTTTCTTTATTACCGCTCCAACATCCCAGCGCTCGCTGCGTCGCTCCCTCTGTCTGTCCTTTCCCTCCAAGTTGTCATCTATTTTGGCTTTTCTTGGCCACCTACCTCACACTTACCCTTTCTCACTGTAACACACAGCCCATGACTTCACACAGACATACACCCAGATGATGCTGTGCTGTTTGATTTGTGCTTCCCAAGGTCGGAGATCCAAATCTGCATTTCTATATTTAAAGTCTGCATTTTTCCTGTACACTCTACCACAGAGTACTGTCTTTGTTTTTCCAAACCCAATTAAACCTTGGAGGGAACCAACACAGACTCACCTCACTCTGAGAAATACACAGAGACAACAAACACATCACATCCCAGTCTCTACAATCACAAAAATGAAGCTCAACACATGAATACTAACATGTTCTGTGCAGTGGACGCTGGCAGTTTGCCTGGTAGTTCCGGACTCCATTCCATCTCTGGACTTTGGTGGGTCACACAGTTTGTTCTGTCTCCCGTAGGGTTACATTTCAGAAACTTGTACACAGCATCCCTTGGGGCTCCTAGAAGAAAAATGAAAAGAAAAAATGAAATGACGCTCTTTACTGAATTTAACTACCAAAAAGTAAATCATTTAACGTTTGTGGAATTTCCAGCTATGCACATACAAAAGCAAAGTATTGTCAAAGTTTGCCTATTACCGGTACATAAATAGACTTGTGTACATAAATAGAATTGTGTATAATTAAATTAATTTAAACAAAAAATAAATATGATCATGCTTTACATCTTTTTTCATTTAACCAAAAAATAGTAACCTCAACAACCTAAACCCAAAGGTGTGAATTAGCCCTTTTTAGGCAGATAAGCAAGTAAACTAATGAGTTAGCTGAATTTTATTTAGCTAAATTATTGAACCAAATCTCTTCAGTTGTACAGAGACACCCTGTGGAACATAGAGTTAGTTGTCATGGATTCTTTTTTATTTATTTATTAGTTGCACATTTTGGGTGTGTCTGGGGATTACAACATTATTCTTTAGAAGAATAAAGAAACAGAACTTAACATCATATTTTTAGCAATAATACCATCAAAACACAGGTCTGTTTGCTAAATTTGTCAAATTCAGTGGAACTTTAACAATCACTACGGTTCAAGAAAAACAGAAGAACTGTTATATCTGCCGGCTGTTCCACTACACCTACACTGCACACAGGTCTGTTTGATGGAGTGATTGCTAGTCCTGCTACACAGGCAAATTTAACCAAATGAGAAAGGAGAGCATCTAAATGAGACAGACATAAATCTGAAAAGTGCTTGTTAATTTCGACAGTGATGAGAGACGCCAGGCAGCGAGGTGTAAATGTGGTTGGTGCTCTTGCCTCAAAGAACCACGGTCGTTGGTTTGAGTGCTTGCTTGAGCAATGGGCTTTTCTGTGTGATGTTTGTCAATCCTCCTCAAAGGGATTGTTTCCACACTGTGGTCGCTTGATTAATATGTTTGACTTCAATGTGTGGTAATGCTAACATTAGCACTTCAGTCCCAAACACTCCCATCAAGATGTGGACCTTAATTTGCTTTACCACCGACTCTGGAATGATTACAAATATTTCATGTGTTAAAAAAAAAAACATTTAAATGATCTAAAGAGACAAATCACCTGACCATGTGCTTTCATTTCAAAAAGTGTAGAGATAGAAGTGTGTGCTAACAAAGCTAATATATGTAGCTTAGCAGCAGCTTTGCTTGGGATATATTAACAGTACTCCTGTCTTGTAGAGGACATTGTTTTCTTTAATAAAAAAAAATACAGCAGACAATATATTAATAAAATATATTTATAACTATATTACTAATTCAATTGACTTGTTGTCCTCTCTGGACAACAGGTGGAATGTCCAGAGAGGAACCATCTTTCCCCTAATGTCATATAGAACAGGAACCATTTCTTCCTGTGACCTATTACTGTAGTGTACAGCAGTTCAGATTGTCTTGAGACTCAATGACTACTTTTGTAGACCCTAGCCAACCACAGTTTCATCTGAAAACAAAGATGACTAGACAAGCATTTGTCATTATCCTGATGGTTGATTATCATTTCAGTAGAGGTGCCTGTAGCTAATAGATAGCTTGTACGAGGGTTAAAAAAAGGGACATATGGTTTAAAAGATTGCCCTGGATTTGAGTGTTTTATGTATTAAGACTTATATAGCAGTCGGGCATAGGTGTTATGATTAGATGCCTATAGATGATGCAAAATAATGTAAGTCAAACAAATCCTAATTTATATCCACATTAATGATTGAGACTAGTGAACTCTACGTCATGATGAAAGTTGAAACAGCTCCACTCACAGACTCTTTCAAACCACAACGGAACTCAACACAGGAACCGAAACACTGTTGGTCTTTCCAATATATATAAAAAAACAAACATAAAAGACCCATTTTTGTTGTCATCTAAAAATAATCTTAAAACAATACTTAACTTGACTTTTGTTTTGTTTAAGTTGAGTTTTTGCCACAGATAAAGAGGATGTGGATTCCCCAGAACAAAGAAACCTGACGTTGACATATGTGGTATGAGTCACAGGTGTCGGTAATCACAATTTGCTACCACAGAGTTCAACAAATGTGTAATTTACTGACATTTTTTTTATCTGTTGTTAGTTAATTGACATTGTTATTAAAAATAACCTAAAACTGGCAACTGAGAGCAGGGTTAATTATTACTGTTGTATGAATCTACCAAGAAACCGAAACAGAGCACTTAAAGTGTTTTTCTAGGATTTCCGTGTGCAATCATATACCTTAAAAAGTTGTCTCCCTCTAGGTCTTATAAACATTCTATGATTTGCCTAAAGTTTGGTTCTCTTGTAAACTAAAAGTACCGTTTCTACGTTTCTTTCTTATTAACTTAAAATCATTCATAGACCTATATGGTAAAAATAACATTGTACTAGGTACCTTGATCAGCTTCATAGGAAAAACAATGTATTTTGCTCGGTAGTGAATGGACTATCTACACGCACCTTACATGAAATGGAATCTCGATTTTGTCGGTGATAAGAGTGCGGCTGACTCAGAAACACGTACTAATACCAGATAAAATCATTCTTGTAATTGTTTCACCATAAAAGCAACTTCTATTGAACAACTGACACCGCTACACCGAACACCACGGTAATTTGGATGCGTTAACAAACGCGCGCAGCTTTTTTGGTCTCTACGGCACTGTGGATTCCAGGATATTAAAACCAATTGCGTATGTGGCAAAGGGCCACGTGACGCAGTTTGATTTCTAAGCGAAGGCATTTAGATAAGCGTTCATTAGGGAGAGACGGGAGAGAAACCACAGCGATCAATCAGGAAAAGATGTAAATTAACATGGCGTCAGTTAAGAAAATAATGTCAAAACAGCACTTTCTCGTTACAAAAAGAATACAATAATACATTCCTTTATGATTGTTTGTTTGTTTTTCTTTTCTACTTTATCGTGTAGACGTTTACATATAAAAAAACTCCAAATAGATTTACCCCGTCTATGTCTAAAGTCGTTGTTTTAGTAAATATTACATTGACGTATTTAAAAGTTATGTCACTTAATAAACGTATTTCATGAGAAAAATAAATAAATAAAGCGCCTGGGCAAAACATTACGTGTTTGTAATCACTGTGAACTTGACAAAAAACTTGAATTACCAAAGATTTACACCAGGAGTTAAAAACAATCGAACTTGACAAAAAACTTGAATTACCAAGGATTTACACCAGGAGTTAAAAACAAATCAGACATTATTGAATTTTCTTTTGTCTTTTTTACACTGACACTTTACAAGTTAGTGCGTAATCGTTTAGTGGTTCTTGTAAAAATACGTGGACTTACCTGTCCCGTTATGTAAGACGAGGAAGGAGATAAGAAGAAGAAGGAGCAGTTTCATCCTCAACTCTTCTCCTCGTTCAAGAAAACGGCAGGTAAATGCAGATATCACCCTCTGACGATGGCCTCTGTCAACGTGCACGTTGGTTATCACAGCTGCGGGGTGTTGTGTGATCTGTACTCTGGTTAAACCCACTCTTCTATCAGGAGGAGCTCAGCCCTCTGAATGACTGCGTCATGGTTTCCTGAAGACATTGAACATCCTCTGTGGAAACTTTTGCATTAGCAGCCTCGAATATCAGATATGACTGTAAGTGGTGCAAACTTTGGCCCATGAGTGTCGTAGCAAAGAGATTTAATCAGTCTTTCTGATAAAAGCGACCCGAAGAAGAAGAGGAGAGTGGCTGTGAGACACAAGATGGATAATTGTCTATCTACCAGGGGCTAATCGATTTCAAGTTCATGAGCTTTAAATGTATGTACAAACTGATGTGTCAGATAGAAAACCATGATATAATATTAAATATTTAGTGTTTGGGGATCCAAATTTATAAAACAAGAATATTAACAACAATTGTATATACCCCTTTAATTTTGTTCTTGTGTTTTTGAATGAAAACTTGATACTTGGAAATCCACTGACTTTTTGAGAAACAGGGTTTGTAGAATGATAACATAATGGAAAAATGCGGTAACACCTGCCAAAAAAACGTGTTCCTGCTAATAAAGGAGAGTCAACACATAGTGGGATAATTTGAGTTAGAAAGTAGGGCACATTAGGTTTCAGCATGTAGGTCTGTTGTGTCAAAGCCAAGGCCTGGGGGCCATAAACGGGCCGCCAAGTCATTTTGTATGGCCCATTGCAGCTTAAAAAATAAATTAAAGTCCATTGTTACTTGAGTAACATACAGAAACATTTAGTAATATTTTGTGGAGTACTTACATCTACACAGTCTTCCAGTTGGAACCAGCCCTTCAAGGGCAACTCTTTTGCTAATGTGGCCCCCAGTGAAAATGAGTTTGACACCCCTGATCTAGGTCGTGCCTAGTTTACAGTTCAAGGTTTTTCTGGGTAAGTAAAGGATTCTGCTTTGGTTAACCTGGGCAGCTGCCCAAGGTTGGGAGTGGGGGCTCATCAATGGAAACCTTGGCAACAGGGTGCCAAACAAATTAGGTCTCTGAATGGTGAGCAGTGTGTGAATCTATGTATTCAGTAAAGCCATTATTCAATTTAAATATCCTCAACATCCTGTGCTGTCTTTCTAATGGTCTTTGGTCACATTTTATTTTCTTCCGCATGTGGGTTTCCATCCAAAGCTGGGAGCGCAGTCTTAAATGAAATCAAAACCACAACATATACGTGATCCAGATGGGTGGCCCTTTTCACTTCAAAATGCCAAGTGTTGTGATTTTAGTCTTGTACTTATTCTGCAGGCTCTATACTGTGTTGCTTCCACCAAACTTACTTGTTCTCACCATTTATGTCCTTGTTCCCTGAACATTATTCTTAATTTCAATGCCTTTAACTGTCAAAAAGTCAAAAAGTGAGAATATGATGGCATGTCAGAACCATTCTGCAGAAGTGGTTATTACAGTTCCTAACATTTGATTTTCAGAAAATGAAACATTAGCTAATCCCTGACACCATTGTGCAGGGACACACACACACACACACACATCAAGTGTGACATGATTGTGGCACATATATGCCAACTAAATAAAAAATGGGTTTTCCACTGGGTTTAGTTATCGTTGTCAAAAATGTAGCTATTTTGAGGTGAAGCTGTATTTACTTTGAGTAAATCAAATTAATTAGTTATTAATTTATAATTAATATAAATTAACATTGTTATTAATATTGTTTAATCACAATTTACTATATAATAAAGTAAATTAAATTGGCAAACTGGTTATTTAGCTGATCTAATTTAAGGAATATATTTTATCAAGCTGAATGAACTTTTAATTATTTTATACTTACATATGTATATTTATTTTATATTCTTATCATTATTTATTTTTACTCTCTTTGGAAGCACCTTGTCTTTTAAGGGGATTTTTTTTTATTTAAAGTCTACGTATGGGAAAATAAGTCTTTTTCTAACTTGTTGTTGTTTCTCTCAGTAAATAACACATTGGTCTTCCCAAGTACGCCTTCATGCAAAGCAAAACACACACACACTAACACACTGAAAGTGACATTTATGGCACATATAACCACTTACAATACTTCACACATAGTATTTTCACAGTCAACTCTCCACTGGTCTTCTCCACAGTACAAATTAAAGCAACTCTAAAGCCTTAAGTCATGTCAGTCATGAGTAATATTTTACATTTTATGTATGGATGTGTTTACCTTTATAATCCAATATAGTTCTGCAAGTATAAAAGTCAGTATTTACACCCAAGTTTGTTTTTCCCTTTCTGTTGGGTAATGTGGTAACTTCTCCATTGTCTGACCTAACAGTTTATAGCAACAAGTGCTTCTTTTAAACTGCCAGGAACACAGTAAACATACAGGTTTTTGTGAACATACATTGTAAACTACCTCGTACCCTATGTTTACACGCAGAGGCCAAATTTTGGGGTTGTTGTTGACGTTAGTGGGAGAGGAACTACAGTGATTCATAACATTAGAACTGCTGTCATCAATATTTTTTGCCCTTATAAATGGTAGATTTGATGGTTTTGGAGAACTGGTTCTTTGAGTCATGTCCAGATGTTTCTCTCTCTGTCTCTGCTGTGATGAAATCGGTCTGCTGGTCTTTCCACACAGTTCTAAGCATATTACTTTCAAAGTATAAGGTCAATCATTACAGCTAGACAGGTTTTTCAGTAGCTAAAGTGGCTTACGTTTGTTGGTTTTGGACGAGTACATTTGTTGATGTATTATCGAGGTAATTTTGATAATTTCAAGGATAATATTTATCATATAGCTTGAAAAAAACTTTATATGCCCCACAATAAATGAAAATCGAAAGTAAAAGATGTATACAGAGAATGTGGAGCATTTAAAATATAGCAAGTGAAGAAGACCAAATAGAAAAAAAAATGAGGTTAAAAAAAGGTTAGCATTATCTACAGTAATAGACTGACACTAACGAGGTGCCGTTTTGGCCATTTAAGATATTAACATACCAAGCTAATGTTTAGACTTTGCTAAAGCTTACTTTGAATTTTGTCCAGCTCAGCTTTATTTTGATTGAATGCTAGCTACCTCAGCTGACCGTTGCTCGCTATGCTACTATTTGGACAAATTGTGTGTATGTTTAGCTGATTCTAGAAATATTTGTATAAAGCTAGGTACAAAACACAAAAACAGTGTGGAATTGTTTGTGTGTGTGTGTGTGTTCGTTTTAAGTTTTGGTTTTCCTGTGAGCTCTTTGACCCAGCTCTCACCCAAAACAGATTTATTTCCAGTGTCTGGGACTTCAGCTGGTCTCCCAATAGTCACTACATGTTTTGACAAGTATCACAAAGGTCGGTTGAACTGAGGCGCAAATTAAAGTTCACAGGTTGTCATGCGTTGACATGGTTTTTCTTCGGAAAGGCCACAAATAGTGTTTGAAAATAAACTGCAGTTTGGTGGCAAAACAAAGACTCATTGTGTGTAACTTAATGATAGCTACAGACTGAGAAAAACCAGGTTCAGGTCAAACAAGTTCAAAAGTAACGTTGAACCACCGCCAGTCAAAACCCAAAGAGCTTTCATCATGGTGTGTTCCTATTGTTGTGCCCACACCACATCCAGATAACTAAATGTACGTCTGGTGTGAGGAATTTGAATGTTTATTCAAAATAATTTTTTATAAGATTTTCTCAAAGAGGCTAAAGCTAAAAATATGGCAGTTAAACTGTTGCAATAGGCATTTTGGATTCATGTTCGGAGGATATGTCTGCACCATGTACCTACAGTATTGTATACAGGGAGTATTTATGTTAGTTCAGAACTACATTTATTTTTATGTGCTACGTATATGTTTATAATTTGTAGTTTGAATCTGCAAGCTTCCGTGAACGTTTGGCTGTGTTTGCTGACTTTGTTAGTCATGTAACAACTTGCTTATATTTGTATGTATTGAATATTTTAGGAATGCTGTTTATTAACAGGTTTTAACCAAGATCTTGGCAACACCTCACATCAATAAAAGACAATACAATTATATATATAAATAATTGTGGTCAATTTCAGGTAGCTAACTACTGTATCTTTGTTAATGTCATTAACTAACATTATTTGCAAAAAACCCCCAACAAAACATCAAAATTATGAGAGACTTTTTTCAGGTCATTTTTATTATTAAATGTGTCCATAAATTATTGTGACAAGATGGCAGAAATGGGAGGCAGTTGAGGAGTCACCCTCATGTCTTACTCAATGCTGACCAACATCTTTTTAGAAGTGTGATGTGTTCATTGTTAACTGGAAAAACACTCCTGTGGTTTTCCCCTTGCATAATTCCGTTGTTATGAAAAGATCAAACTATGTCCATGACATCAGTTTCTATTCATGCATTACAAATAGTTGTGCCACGCATATAAAGTAAAAAATGAAAATTCCTTTTATAATACTTCATTGTTACTTTCAGACATCATTTATTTTTAGAATATTTTATGTTGTTTAATGGTCTGGAAATAGATTATTTTTCGCTAATTTCTGCGTTCAAAAGGAAACATTTTTCCCTGTATTTGCATCATTAAATATCTTGCTGTTTTACTGGAAAAACTGCAGAGCATTTATTCATAGCACAGCACACAAACAATAAGCCCCACATCACTAGTCTGCCGCAAGTGCAGATTTTTCCATTTGTTTAATATCATTTATATCAATACATACAGTAACAGCTGTACATAATACACAAATACACAGTCAGTAAAGACAGAATTCAATGGTTATGGCCATTCCATGCAAGACAGGACAGCTAGGTGACCAGTAGATGGAATCTTTACAGAAGGAATTTTTGTATGGATTATATTAACTTGATTATTAAAGGTAGATGTACCACATTTTAACACAGAGGTAACAACATAGATTTACTGTGTTCATTATCTGTTATAGTAGGTCAGTTCATCTTCCATCATGGCTTCATAACTGCTGGGAGTGTGCATCGATTTAAAGTTACTACATCAGGACACAGGTCTGTGTGTTTACAGAGGGGTGGCTTCAGTTGTTGGTCACCATCCTTGCTTTGAGGCGGTTGATTTTGAGGGGGAGGAGGCCGACCATCTCTTTACTCAGCTCCAGCTCTGCCTCCACAACAGCCGCTGCTTCAGGGTGGGCTGCACAGTACTCCACCACGAATCTAGACCACAAAAGGAGGTGAAAGTGACAGTCAGAAAAAAGAAAATCCCAACTGTTGGCACTCAGTCTGAATCATGTGACATTGTTGTCTTGCAAACTCAAGGGGACCTGGGAAGTATTATTTTCAACTAGATTTTTCCCTACTTGTAGTTTTCTAGAGATTTGCCGAGGTCTGTGAGCTGAACAGAGGGTGGCGAGCCGATGAGTCGGCTGTGTAGACGTCCCACTCTGAAATGGGCCACGAGAGCTGGTCTGAGCACCTCCTCCTCCAGACGTTCTGGAAATTTCCCATCTGGGGAACACAGAGAGTCTAGGAACATCTGAAAGTACCTGCGGAGGAGAACAGAGAACAAAACGATCAAAATGACACACAGTAAAATGGCCAAAAAAAACCAACAACCTTGAATCTAATTTACACTAACTTTGCAGAAGCCGAGCACAGGCTGTTGAACTTCTTGATGGTGTGGTTATCCAGGGACTGTGTATCTGCCTGTCTGTTGGCCAGGGTCAGTTTTAGGTCCATCATTTCACTGTAGCTCTCTGCCAACTCAAACATCAGCTGTCTGCGGATCATCAGGTAGAACTGGGCGTTCAGGTCTGCAGAGAAACATGAACGACTCACGCAAGGTTTTTATGCCACCTTCACCTAGTGGTGATTTTTAAGTCTCCGGAATAATCTCAGATTATAACGCACCAGTGCAGATTGGCTCCAGCATGTCAATTCTCCGTTTGTGCATCTTGCAGCGTCGCTCCAGATCCTCTTCAAAGAAGGCCAGAGACCTGAAGAGAGCGCTGTGGTCCTGCAGGATTTCTATGTGGTCTGTGACATATCCATCCATCACAAAATACTCCTTGGCCTGCAGGGGGAAAATGAGGATTGACCCTTAACAATTGAGGTCAGTGTGGAGATAATCATTCAACTGAACTTTTCCTGTCACTGTTGCATAGACTGATAAACAAAGACAAATTATTTGCAGTTATTAAATAATAATAATAATAATAATTTTGATTATTTTGATGATCTCCCATGGTACACTCATGTGCCATGGCTCAGTGGTTGGTCCAGCACAAAGCTGGCCCTAATGAAGTGTCTGAAAGCCAGTTATAAACACTGGCCCTAATGAAGTGTCTGAAAGCCATATATATATTATAAAGGTGACGACTGTGGGCTGTGGTAACTTGTTTACCTGTGTGTGTGTGTGTGTGTGTGTGTCTCACCTGTGTGACATAATTTTGTCCCACCAAAAACACAGCTCTGGCTTCGTTGAAGTCCAATGGAAACAAACACTGAACCTAAAAGCAACAACAGACGGTTTCAGTTCATCTACTACGCCGGGTCGGAATTATGCTGATTGCGCGATAGCGCCATCTAGTGATAAATTATATAATCATCATTTACTGTCAGATTTCAGCAGAACTACATTGCTGTAGGAACTGATTAAAAAACATGGACTGCTGAAAATTCATTATGATTAAACTGCTGTATATTTGAAAGTTTTGGATGAAAACCTTTTCCTCCAGAGTTGCGATGGAGTCAAAAGTGTCTTCAGAGCCAAACAGTAGTGTGCTCTTCCTCTCCTTCTCTTCCTCCTCTTCCTCCTGTCTTCTTGTTCTTTTCAGCTCATCCTGACGATCACTATCAAGCTCACCGATGTTGTCCTGGCCACAGAAACAGGAGAAGGGACGAAACAGACTCCACAGTTACACTTAACTGAACTTAAATATCCAAGTGATAAAGAAAAGGTAAAGAAAACATTACATAGAAACTTTCAGGAGAGGGTAGGGGGGTTTAAGTGAATGTAGTACCTCCAGCTGCTTCTTAGCGTCCTGCAGGAGGTTCAGACAGTATTTGATCCAACACCTTGCGATCTCTGCTCTCTGCTGTCGGAGCTTTTCTCTGCGTTCACTCTCTATCTCACCTGTGAACAGCGTGAAAGTGCGAAATGTATATCCATGCATATATATATATACATACATACATATACACTCACAGACATACGTATATATACATGTAAATATATACATATATGTATATAAATATATACATACATACATACATGTATATATGTCTGTACAGACCTTTGTACTTGATGTTTCTCTACCTGAAGGACTCAGAGTGATACCTACTCTCCTGTGCTGCAGCTTCAGAGGGAACGTCTCCTGCCAAACCAGATATGACTGAAGCTGCTGCGAGGCAGTGTCTGCCCAACATGAAGTGACCCTGGGAACAAAACGACCCTTTTATTTAGAAAATAAAAATACAATGAAAAAATACTTTCCATTACTTCACGGACTATCTCTCGGTCCTACCTTAGTGATGTAATATTGTGACAGTGTGGCAGCGTTCAGGGCCCACTCCATTGGACTGAACTGATTCAACTGTAGCTGTCGCTGTAGAGTGCTGTGACAGTAGGTGGCAGCACGCTCGTTCTGTCCTTCAAGTTAAAATGAAAACAATAACAATGTACATTGTTACAAACTTAGAAAGTACAGCAAAATAAAATTCTAAATGTTTGGACTATTAGTGCTAACACATTTTGACTTTTGACTTACCAAGGTTTTTGTAGACTTGAGCAAGGTAGTACATAGTGTGAGTGTATGCTAACTCAAACCTAAAAAGGTAGAATAGAAAAAAAACCCAGAAGTGAATATGTGTAAAACATGAACCTGAAGTCATCATGGAGGGGTTTTTTCTGGGTTACCTCTTGGTTCTTTCCTGGTGTGTCAGCTGGTTCTCCTCTGTAGTGAAGTATTCTGTCATATCAGTGGGAGGAGACCCATCCTGAGGTTTGAAAGACAAACGTATTGACCTCACGCCACAAATGATTGTGAGGATGGAGAAACTATGTCATTTGGTCAGAGGAACCTCATTACCTCCTTCATGTAACGTTGGTAGATCGATTCTGCAGTTTCAAGGAAACCCTGAGCTGTTTCTGTCTCGTCCCGTGAGGCCCAAAGGATTCCCAACTGGTTCTGAGTGGCACGAAAAAAACAAACAAAACAATTCATCAACATGGTCATAACACAACTATAACACACATGTGGCCAGGCCCTCACTGACTGTAACTGTTGACACACTAACAGTTACCTTAGCATTGAAGATGTGTGTATCCTTTGTGTGTTAAGATCGTGTCTCTTTCTCGGTGAATTGTGTGTGTGTTTTGCATCTAGTGTGACCCTAATGTTGAAAGCAATTTGGTGCAATGCCACCTGCTGTGATATCATCTTCTTGGTTGTTCAAATACTTAGATGATTGTACAGTAGCGTGGCTAAATGGTTGTCATTGGACCTGAGGGGGGTTCACGGTCATGCCTGCTGTTTATCACATGCCAATGTGAGACAGTTCCTCGTGACTACTCAAAGGGCCGCGCTCTATACCTTGGGAAACGCTCATTCCTATCACATGTCCTCCTAATTATGAAGAAATATAAAAGCCGAGTAAACATTACCTTGACATGAATGTACAGCGATACATTATCGGATGTGACACTGCATTTCTCCAGCAGCTTCATGCAGTTCATCAGATGCTCTTGTCCGGCTGACAGCTCCTCCGTGTCGACGTGGTTCACGCCCAGATAGTAGTCCACTGCCCCGAGTCTGGCGGCCCGCAACCCAGCTGCCGAGTCTCCGCAGATGCTCTGGCCGTGCCCCTCCTCCCTCTGCCCGTCCACCGGCTCCTCTGGAGGCTGCTGGTCAACGCTGTCCTCATCGCCTTCTGGAGCATCGAAGCACTTCAGAGAGGAGTAAATCTCCCGGAGGAGCTCCCTAGCCTTGTATTTTGAGCGGAAGGGTTCGTTCTGGGGGTCGTTTTTTGATTCTATGTCAGTGAGATTTTGGGCGTTGGTAAATTTGTCGCAGATCGCTCTCCACTCATCACTGTTGACGGACGCCATGTTGATTTGCTTCTTCGTACGCCTTTAACCAGCACGTTTAAAATGACATACTGCCACCTGCTGTAGGAAAACGGTTACTGCCGGTAAGAGGAACGTGTCAAGTGTCAAGGGTGATTTCTGCCAGGGGAAACGAAAAAGAAGCTGAAATGTCTTGTAGACGTAAACGACATTTAGGATTGTGGGATAACGTTAAAGAAAAAAACAAACAAACAAAAAACACATAACCAGCCTGACTAACTGTAAAGAATATTTGTTTTTGTATCATTGTGGCCAACTGAGTTGTTATTTATTGCAAAGGAATTCAAGTTTATATGACTCGATGTCGGCCGAGTTAAACAGATGGCAGGACGATAAACCAAACCAAATCTAAAAATAGTTTAAAAAAAACCCCAAAACAGTTGCTACAGGGTGTTCAAGGCGGTTGTAGCAAGTTTATTAAACAAACCAAAAATTAAATTATGAATTAGGAAGGAAATAAAATGAAAGTTAGTCTTAAAAATTTGAATTATACATAGTATTTAGCCAGCTCTGATGGAAACTTGTCTCAGTCATGTAAACCTAGCAAACATCTGTGTTCCATGTTCAAATAAACCTTTTATTGTATTTTTTGTGCGTCTACAGAATACAACAAGGAAAGTGTTACAAACACAGCAGTTGACAATAAATCAATGAGGCAAACATCAGATTCATTTGGCCTATACAATAAAAAGTGACTAAAACCTCAGTAGGATGATGAGTTAAATTAATATTATTATGGTGAATGAGCCATGGTTTTTCATGATTCAAGAAAATGCTGTTAATGGTTACGGCAGCCGGTGCCACTCTGCAGTGGCTGTCCTCCATCAGCTTCTCTCTGTCACTAAGATGAAGTGTTCTTCTTCTCCATGCTGAAAAAACAAAACAAAAAACCCACCGTTAGGTTAGGTGTTTCCTATGATACCTTACATTCTCTGTTCATAATTGTCACTGCTAGTGACGATAACACGTCACATACTTAAATTTGATGAGGCGACTTCCTTGGATCAGCTGTGCAGACTCATTGGTCAAATGACAGGCAAAAAGCAGCCAGTTGCGGGGCTGCACCTTGTATGCGAACCTCATGAACAGCAGCGAATAGCAGCACAGAGCTGAAAGGGAAAAAAAAGGAGAAACCCCCCCGGCTCCCCGAATGATTACTACAATCAAATTCAGAAAACTTGAATAAACCAATAACCTTGACTACATTGGTACGACTACTACAGAGAAACATAAAAAAACCCAATCCTATCCAGTATTGCGTAGGGCTGTCTCTAGTTGTCCAAAGTCCAAACATCTAAACACACTGCCCTTTGATCCGTGAAACCACTTTTAGTTATGTTGGTTATGTTTTTGTTCTGAAGAGACACAGGAGCAGCTAGTGAAGCCTGAAGAGTCGTAACTCCTGTACGATGTTTACGCTCAGGAATTCATAGATGTAAATACTCTGTTAAAAACATTCACACTACAGCTACTCACTGTACACGTGTGCTGTTAGCAAGCAAACTAAACAGTCTCTCTGGGCTGAAAAACTCCAACAGGAGTTGCTAAACAGGCAGGGTTCAATATTTTCTATTGTTTTTTTTGCAAGTGTCACAAACATTAAGCGAAATCAAACATTTGTGTTACTGACTTCCGGTTTCCTCGAAGTCTTTGTGTTAAACTGAAAATCACCCTGAGTGCCCTGAGGGAAAGGGCACGGTATATACTTATGGTAATGGAAAAAAAGATAAGGGTGTGCATATACTGTAGCGTGCAGCATGTACTGTATAGTGGAAAAAAAGATAAGGGTGTGCATATAGCGTGCAGCATGTACTGTATATGTTCTGTCTGCATGAGTTCAGGAGTGATCGTCTCACCAAAGGTCATCCTGCCGCTGATAATCTCAGGGCTCTTCTTCATATCCGCGATGGCAGCGATGGGGAGACCCCAGTTCGCTATGGGCCCCCAGAAATGCTAAACAAACAAACAAATAAATGATTATTTTATATTGTTAACAAATACAGTACACTGTATATATAGAACTGCTGCCTTGTTATATTAAGTTGGAGGATCTCCTGGGTAATATGTGTGGCTTAAAGAATATTAACAACAGCATATGATGGTGAAGTCCCCATGTTAAAGAAGAACTCCATTCTAAACAAGCAATTCAAACTACTCTCAACTAAAAAAATGGATTTGTCTGTTCTGATCTCTGGGTGAAGATAAAGAGCCCTGTATTTCCACCTATACATTTAAAGTTAAGCCATGGTGGGGAGAGGTTCGGGGGGCTCGCTTGTGTGAACGTGGTGTCCTGTCACCCTGTGTCGTCATTTCTATCTGCACTTTGAGACCTAACTTTTTAATTAATTCTATGAAGACAATGAAGACACAGAGGAAAGACTTCAGGGACAAGGTCTTACCGTGCTGTTGATGCATTTTATCCATATCAGAGCCGCATAGAAGAGAAAGGAACAACACTGGATAAGTGGCAGTGATATGAACTTGATGAATAGATTTAACCACTGTACAAAGATTAAAGGTTATGAACAAAAGATGAGGAGCATTCTTGGATTAGGTCAAACATTTTCAACATATCGAAGAAAAACCTTCAGTTGCCTGTCTGTGAAAAGACACACTTCACAGATATTTCAAAGGTCAGTCTTAGGATATTTAAAAAAGTAAGTCCTGTGGTGTATATATTTCATTTGTTGTTAGGTATGGCTCTTATATTCATATTTTTTTCCCCAACAAAATGAGCTCCAGACAAATTATAACCGAATACAGTGATCCTTTACTTGTAACTATACATTTTAAAAGCTACGCGAGGGAAGAGTTCTAACTAATGAGTTGTTATAATATATTCAGGCATAATTAACCAATAGGTTATCATTATAAATTCACAAGCAGTAGAATCTAAAAAAATCTGAATAAGTGTTAATGAGTGTTATCCCAAAATATTCTTTTTGCCGTCACACTGAGCGTTATACACACATAATGTTTTCCCACAATTCGAGGAAAAAGCATGGAGCTTTTTCACAGAAGAAACACAGGTAGAGATAAAAGATTTATTGGCTTTGAATAACCCGTAGCCTCAAACAACCTCAAAGATGTAGGTTGTTATATACAACAACCATGGCAGCTAAAGAGTAAAGGTTAAATCATGACAACAATAAAATGCCATAAAAACAATATATAAAACTGTTGAGGGATTAGTAAAAATCCATACAAGGAGGAGCCTGGTGACATGGTTATTAATCCTAAAACCCTCTAGGGTGTTTTTCCTGGGAAAACTCAGAAGGTCTGGCTGATTGTGAATTTTTCCGATTTAACTGTTTTTTTCCCCCTGAAGCTGTCAGAACTTATTAGTTTCTAGGAATTCAAGTTAAAGAAAATTATTTCCAACAAAAGATATATACCTTTACTAAAAATATAACTTTACTCCTAACACTTTGTCAGTGAGACGGTAGAACTTGACTCGTAGCTCCTTGTCAAAGTCAGTCAAAATATAATCACCAGAAATGAGGATATTTACTGTAGTTAAAAGACCTATGTTTCTGTTTCAGAATATAAAGGGTATCTTTAAAAGAATAAATTTATTTATAAAAATGAAGTATTTAAAGTGTAAAATGTTTTGACAGCATAGAAAGCCAAAAAAAAAAACCCAAAACATTCTTTTTCGGTGTTGGACAGAGACCAATGTTTAACTAACGTCTCTTGTGCCTGCTATAGAACTCGTATGTAAATAGATAAATATTTCCCCCAAACAATGAGACTTAAACCAGAGTAACAAGTTTCCCTCGTTACCGAGATACTTCGAAATATACCAATGTTTTCAAGCAATAAAGGGCAAAAACGGCAGAACACGAATAAATAACATACACGGGATTAAGATTATTCATAGAATTACGTTAAATGTTATAAAAACGTGAAATATAGACAGTTTTGGATAAGGCAGAATACCAATTGCTAAGCGGTTAAAACATCGTTAGCTGTGTCGTCTACAAGCTTCGTATGTTACAAACCTCGTTAAATAATCCCGGAACTCTTTGCTCCTGAGGTGATCGATAGCTTTTCTGGCAATAGTGCTGGCCATGGTGAACAGTAAGGACGATGTAAGTTGAGTCGAAAAAAGAATGACAACCGTAGCAGCTCTGAAGGGCGACGAAATTACTGCTTCACAGAGGACGAAGACCGGTCAAATTTCCATCCATCAAACACTGGCGCTTTACGACACTGTCGCAACACCGCTGCTTTGGTTGCTCCTTTGATCTAGAGCTAAAGAATATAGATAAAACCTCATGGCAGGAAAAACCTATATGAAAATATATTATTATTATTATTATTATATTAATTGTATTTTGTGAGGTTTGAAATCTATGGAATATTACACAAAGGTTATCCACAAATGTTACATAAACTTTACAGTTAAGGAAAATATTAACTAAATACGATTCGTGGTAGTTACGTAAAGAAACGTTTTGATACACTATTTCGATTGCAGCAACAAGCAGACCCTGAAGTATAGAGTATATTAGGCATATATTTCCCTTTATTTAGGCATAAAACAATCAGTTCTATTTGTAGAAACGCAACAGTTTTAAAAGCTAAGTCTAAATACTCGGATAAAATATCTAAGGATATAACCAGAAAGATCAACTGAAAGAGCAGGTTTCGCCACTTTTACGGCAGCCTCGCTTCTATCCTTTCTATTTCTACATCTACATGAGAACAAGGCTCCACGCTCCGCCTCTGCGCGTTCCTTTTCACCCGCGTGCCCGAGGAGTGCCTCTGTGTCTACGCTGAAGGGTTCCATCGAGAAAGAAAATGCCATCAAAAGTCATTATTGACAACAAAGATCAAACTATGGAGGAAGAAGTAGACACTGTCATCGAGGCCAAACCTGTAAAGGTGAGTGTAGCAGCTTATTTCTCAAGAGAAACGCTGAAAAAAAGCTCAGCTCTGACCGCGATGCGTTTTAACATGTTTGACAACATGTGGCTTTAACTGGCTAATTTGCTAGCTAGCTAGCTAACTAATAATTAAAAAATAGAAAAACAGTTTCTGTTTTGTAGAACATTAAGATGTCCGTGTTCATTGATAGGCGTTTTTCTTTTAGGCATTTATGTAAGACCTATTTGTAGTAAGAAAATGTGTTTAAATTACATGAATACTGTTAGCATGTGCGTACTTTAGTTTGGTTAGCTGATGGTCACGTGTTCCATCCACGTGTGACTGTACTGATCTGTAAACTGTATGGATGTACCAGCTGCGAATGTGCACGCCCCGAGAATCGTGTTCCACATGTTGAAGTGTGCACACATGTGGGCGCAACTAAGTGACGTAGCCCAGCTGTAACCAGCCTTTTAAACTCAAGAGTAAATCCGAGAGTACGATTTAGTTGCCGTTTATTTTAGACATTTACATTTCATTTGCTTTTTCTTAACCAAACAACAGGCTCGATTTGTGAAACCTTGACGTTCCTTTTTATCGAGGAAACGTAACTTTTTACAATGTGTCAGCACTGAGTATATTGAAAAAAAAAGTTCAAAATGAGTTACGCCACTGTAGTCTGAGGCTCTAGTTCAGTAAACGGTAAAAACCTTTACTTTTATTATTATGGTAATACATATTGTGAGTTCTATTGTTCTTTTGTGATTTACACCCCTATTGTGTTTGGTGTGCTTAATAAGAATACATAATACAGTACATGAAAAAATACAATACAACCCAATATATTTTTTAGTGTTACTAGTTGTGACACTCAATTTTGAAAATAATTAAAGATTTCATCAGTATTTGACGTAACATTTAAATTTATGGGACGGTTGCCTTCGAAGTTTTACGGTGTGGGATTGAGCAACACCTAGCGGCAAAATAGCATATAGCATGATATAGTTGAATTTCAGTCATCAATATCGCAGTTGAGACATGTTTTAGCAAATATATACTGTACTGTTTATTGCCTTTTATTTATATTTCCAACACGATGTAAGTTTATTGATTGTTTATGACTACTAACTTTCTGTGCCAACAAAAACAAGTTTTAATGAGTGACCAATCATAGTCATTAAGAAAAAAATGTTAAATTAAATTTGAATTTTAATTGTTGAACTCAATGTTACAGTAAGTTGAGTGACTGCCGCCTGAGGGTTAAAGTGTTTTGTTCATTCTAATAAAACATGAATATAGATCAAGACCAAAGAGGGCAAGAAATTGAAGAAGATGAAGGTGCAGTTGGAGGAGGAGAAGGAGGAAGAGGAGGAGGAGCAGCAGCAGGAGGAAGAGGATCCAGACTGTGAACCTCCAGCACCTAAGAAGAAAAAGAAAAAAGACAAGCTGGCAGCGGACCAAATGAACGGCCACACAGACGAGGCCACAGATCTGAATGGAAACAGCAACGACATTGAGACACCTAAGAAGAAGAAAAAGAAGAGCAGTGAAGGAGACATAGATGTAAGTCTCATTATTTCAAATGTTCAGTTAGAGCTTCATAAGAACGGTTGGTTACCTTATTTGACAGGGATTATTTTACTCTCAATAATGTTGTCATTTTTTCCACTCTTGGGGAGAAGAAGGTGCAAAAGAAAGCAGACAAAGAGGCAGCAGTTAATGGACATTCCAACACAACCACCCCTGTACAGACGCCCATGCAGACACCAGCCCAGTCGAGTGACGAGTCGGCCAGTGACAGCGAGAAAGAACCGGTATGTCCAGGGAATGTAGTCTTGAAATGGTTGAAGAGTTCTGTTAGGAAACCGGACGTGAACTGGACGTTTCACCTGAAACATTGTCTTCTGTGTTTAGGAGTTGACTCCAGAGCAAAAGGAAGGCGATTTCTCCAACTTCAGGATTTCTCCCTTCACCATCACTAAACTCAAAGGTACATTTGCATTTTTTGCCAGTGTTTAATATTAGTTGACATTCATGGTGTTGACACAGTGTGTGTTTGTAATTAAGAACTAGTAGCTGGTGTTATGCTCTGAAATATGAGAGAGAGATGTACTGCAGTCGTGTGTGGTTTTTTTTTGTTTTGTTTTTTCTCCTCAGGGCGCAGCTCTGTGCTGAATAACAAACTCACCCTCAGGTTTCTGTCTCCCTCCTTGTCCTGTCATTTCACTTCCTCTCCCTCCTCACTGTGTGTCTCAGCTCGGGGAGTCTCTTACCTGTTTGATATTCAGGTGAAAGCTTTTAATCATGTTTATGATGGAGAGGATGTGATTGGCCAAGCCCGAACAGGAACCGGGAAGACGTTCTCCTTCGCCATCCCCCTGGTGGAGAAGCTCCAGAAAGAATCAGTGGCGCCAGTCAGAGGCAGAGCCCCCAAGGTAGACACCGGCGTACAGATTTGGCTGATTGCTTAAAGAAAAAAAGGAGACTTCCTTTAAATTTAATTTGTGAAAATGTATTATACAGATAGCTTAATTTTAAAAAAAATTCTGTAAACGTTCAACAAATGTCATTATAAAACAGGTTAATGAAGGTTAGTGATACATCATGTATGTATTTGTGGAAGAAATTAGAAAAAACTGGGGGTGTCAATATTGACAGATTTTTCTTTTTTCCGTATTTGGGATGTTGATTTATCTCAGTTAATCATTAATAATCATGATTAATTACGATTAGTCATGATTATTCCATAGCTACCCAGTGACTAATGAGATTTACCCCAATGAAAAGATTCCAAGACTTTCTGGATCTATGAAAACAAAGACCGTTTCCATGTTTCCAATATTTTTACAGCAGGGTTGTAATTTAGTAAACCCCACGTCTGTCTGTAGGTTCTGGTGTTGGCTCCGACCAGGGAGTTGGCCATCCAGGTTGCTAAGGACTTCAAAGACATTGCCAAGAAGCTGGCCATCACCTGTTTCTATGGAGGCACATCGTACAACCCTCAGGGTGAGTCTTAAAAAAACATTTTTTAGTTTTGTTTTCTTCCTCTTTAGTATTAATAACACCTATTCTCCCTCTTCTCTCCAGTCGATTTTATTCGCAACGGCATCGATATCCTGGTTGGAACCCCGGGTCGTATCAAGGACCACATCCAGAACAACAAACTTGACCTGACCAAACTCAAACACGTTGTTCTGGATGAAGTGGACCAAATGTTAGACATGGGATTTGCCGAACAGGTTGAAGAGATTCTGGCCTTATCGTACAAAAAAGGTACAATTCTGTCTGCTGTAAAAATAAAAATAGTTTCTGCAAACAATTGTTTTTTTTAAAATAAAATTTGTTTCTGCAAACAATTGTTTTTTTTATTATGTGAAGGATAAAATTGAGATAGGATCAAATTTGAGCTTTCCTTTGATGTGTTTTTGTTTCTTCTTCTTCAGATGGTGAGTCCAATCCTCAGACTCTGCTGTTTTCAGCCACCTGCCCTCCCTGGGTTTATGATGTGGCAAAGAAGTACATGAGGCCCGAGTGCAAACACATCGACCTGATTGGCAAGAAAACACAAAAAGCAGCAACAACTGTGGAAGTAAGTTGTCGTGTGGAAAACAAAATTATTTTACAGTTGTTTTAGGCCATTTGTTTACCAGCTGACTGAGTACAAAGTACTCATAAAGAAGGTAATATCTGTTGTAGTATGCAGTCTTGCAATACTTGCACCACTAAATTTTTGTGTGAAGACAACATTGACCTGATGTTTTTTTTCCTAAGTGTTATAATACTTTGAAGACAACATTGAGCTGATGTTTTTTTTGCAGACTTTTAAAATACTTGAAAATAGGTTAGATGTTGTCTTTAATGCTGGAATAATTCAAAATAATTCCATAGTTTACAGTGCCCTCTGCTGTTTAAGTTAATACCATAGTTTACAGTGCCCTCTGCTGTTTCAGTTGGCTAATGCCAGTCTGATCTTCTCGTCTAGGCAAGAAGTTGTAAACAACCAGGTTGTAGTCCATTTGATACAGGTCTAAAAAGAAAATGAGTTTTTATGAATATCCATTTAAATAATTTATTTAATTAAAATCTATTTTCACGCATTTTTTGTCAAAATAAGTTGTTGGAACGCCTGTTTAATAAAGGAAAATTTATGAGGATTCAATTCAAGCGTTCATCTCTCCCCTGTTCTTCAAGCATCTGGCCATCGCTTGCCACTGGTCACAGCGCGCCGCCGTGATCGGCGACGTCATCCAGGTTTACAGCGGCAGACACGGCAGAACCATCGTGTTTTGTGAGACGAAGAAAGAAGCCAACGAGCTGGCCTTGAATGCATCCATCAAACAGGTGAGGTCACACATACATGCACACTCACACGAGTTCAATCACTCACACGAGCTCTGTATGTGAGCTAATGTCCTAACCTATGTTTCCATGTGTGTTTATTAGCAATCCTTTTATTCGCAACTTGTATTAAACCGAGGCACATGAAAATGATATCTTAAGTGTCTTCTGTACTCTTTAAATACATCAGTACGAAGTTGTTTTATCCATAGAAGCTAAATTGCAAAAAAGGGTCCTCTCAGGGGCAAATGCTGTTTGTTTTCATGTCTGCTGTTGGAGAAGATTACAGTTTAACTGTCTCCTGTTTGTGAATCCACAGAGCACACAGTCCCTCCACGGAGATATTCCTCAGAAGCAGAGAGAAATCACACTGAAGGGTTTCAGAAACGGTCTGTTTGAAGTTCTCGTGGCCACCAACGTGGCAGCCCGTGGATTAGACATCCCTGAGGTCGACCTGGTGGTCCAGTGTTCTCCACCCAAGGTGCACGATAATTCCATCAGTCAATCCAAACTGTACAACTTGCATATTAAAACACAGTAAATTAATGACTTTGATATGATTTCAAATGTATCAATACTAAATAATGTAGTAAAATGCCCATTTTTAACAGCTTTAAATTTAAGCCAATAACAATTTGTCTGTCCCCTGTGTGTCTGTCAGGATGTGGAGTCCTACATCCATCGTTCAGGTCGTACAGGTCGGGCAGGCAGGACCGGAGTCTGCATCTGTTTTTACCAGAGGAAAGAAGAGGACCAGCTGCGCTATGTGGAAAACAAATCGGTACGTGAGGAGGAGATGTTCCTGATGTTTTAGTTCAGAGCAGGGACACGGGAATAATGAGTCTGGAATTATAAAATGACATGAAGTGGAGGGAGGAGGGTCTTAAAATACCCTTACAATGACCATTAACACCTTTGTCCATGCAGGGAATTACATTCAGGAGAGTTGGTGTTCCAACAGCCAATGACATCATCAAGTCATCCAGCAAGGACGCTGTCAGGTGGGCGGTGTCTATGGCTTTATTTATTCATTTACTTTATTTAATGTTCGTCATTGTTGTTCATAATGTGTGACGGTATCGTATGAACCAGTGTCTTTGGCAGTTTTTAACTGTGTCTCTTGGCTGTGTTCAGGTTTCTGGACTCTGTTCCAGTCACGGCCATCGGATACTTCAGAGATTCGGCCCAGAAGCTGATTGATGAGAGAGGAGCCCTCGACGCCTTGGCCGCGGCTCTGGCTCACATTTCAGGAGCCACGAGTTTGGAGCAGAGGTCCCTGCTGTACTCAGATGCTGTGAGTTTAGGGCCCAGAAACATTGAAAACATTTAATTCTAATTGAAACCATCCATTCTTCAAAAATTTGGCTTGCAGTTTTCCACTGCACTTTGTGCCTCTTTTAAAACCCTTTCATGTTGAACCAACCCATACATAGTTAACACCACCCTGAGGGCCCCCGCCCCTTACTTTGGGAACCACTGCATCAAAAGATAGACTTGTCCAGTGATGGGATGTGTTAAATATTGCATTGCACTGCATCAAAAGATAGACTTGTCCAGCGATGGGATGTGTTAAAAATATTGCATTGTTTTTTTGTTTTAATTCATGCACAAGGACAAACCATTGTCTACTGTCCCACAGTGTTAATCACAACACTGCAGCTGTGCTGCCCTGTTGCCCTGGGGGCAACAACAAACAAACCAGTAACATGATTAGCCAGGAAGCGTTGCAGCTCTTGGTTGCCCAGTTTCCCACCTGACATCTGTTCCTGTTTTTAGGTGATTTATAACCTGTATTCCTCCTCACCTTCTCCTCTTGTTCCTAGGGTTACACCACCATACAGTTGGAGTGTTCTCAGGAGATGCACAATCTGGGCTACGCCTGGAAGACCATCAAGGAGCAACTGGGCGAAGCGTTTGAGAACCACATCCACAGAATGACTTTCCTCAAAGGCAGAAAGGTGCGTTCACACGTCAGCGTGGTTTCCTGAAGCTGACGTGGACACGAGTGTTTGTTTATTGGCGATGAATGGATATCAATATTTTTGAAGTGACAGAGTTTCTGTTGTGGTATTTATTCACAGTATGATTTTTGTCGTTCCCAACAGGGCGTGTGTTTTGACATCCCAGTTGACAAGGTCAAAGAGGCTCAGGTGAGGAGAACAGCAAAATGATTCACTTTTAAGCTTTTTTCAGAGTTAAATTAGTAAAAACAAACAAACAAACAAATTGTCCTAGTTGTGTTTAAAAGTTTCTCAACCTCTGCTCTTATCTCCAACAGGAGAACTGGAAGGACGGTCGTCGTTGGCAGTTCACCGTCGCCACAGAACTCCCAGACCTGGAGGAGAAGCCAAACCGCGGCGGAGGTTTTGGAGGCGGTCAGCGTGGGGACAGGAGAGGAGGAGGTTTCAGAGGAGGAAGGGGGCGCTTTGGCAGCGGGTCCTTTGGCGGCGGCGGTGGTGGTCGTGGTCGTGGTGGCAGAGGCGGTCGGTCGTTTAACAACAGAGGTGGACAGAAACGTAGCTTCAGCCAAGCCTTCGACCACTGAAGTGTGAGAAGCTGTGGACTGGTGAAACTGATTCCGGCTCGTCAGAGCCCGCAGTTTTTCTCATTGGCCGACAGTGATGTTGCTTTAAAATGTGGCAAGTGGAAACATATATGGAGAAAGGGGTTGTAGGCTATCGTGCACTTGTAGGGGAATAATAATTATATCAAAACGTGTTTTCACGAAGCCACATTTATCTGGTCGTCTGTGTGCCATATATGAACGCAGTACCGCTGGACGCCACATGTTTCTTTAGATGAAATACCTCATGAAAAACTTGCGAAATCTAGTTATTAATAATTAAGCAACAACTGGTATTATGTTATTTAAAGAGTTGAAAACGGGCCGGTAACGCTTCTGTCACATGTCAATATGAAGTTAAACGTTCCGTACATTCCGTACGTTAAGGTTTAGCTACAAATGTTGCCCCTTTTTTTTTGGGCATTTGGGAAATATTAGCGATAAACCGACTCTGACTCTGGTTCAGAGTCGGAGTCGAGTTAATGTGTGATGTGGAACTTCCAACTACAACGGGTGACTTTTTGAGCGTGTATCATCCTGAAGGTGAACTTTAGCCCGTGATATGAGGCACCGTGTTTCTGCTCCACTCTCACGGAAAATGGTGTTTTAATGGATGTTCACCTTTACAGTTGTGCAGTTCGCCCTCGACAGAAACCTCTCGCACCCCCCACCCCCAACAACACCCCCCTCCTGAAAAATATTTTGGATGATTGCTTTGCAATTGCCTCTGTTAAATATCTGTGTCTTCTGCTTCCATTCGTTTGAATGAAACGACTTGTTCATTAAAGAAAGGTCAACTCAGGTCGTTTGTGTTGTGTGAAATGATGTGACACACATTTACACATTTCTGTGGGTTTTATGGCCAACATTTCAGCTGCAACTCCTTTTACACAGATGGGTCTCTAAGTTTAGAGTAAATCACCTGTGGTTTGGTCCAGTGGTATACTTGGAACATTATGTGGTGTAATACAAATATAAGTGCATTTTTACATATTTATTACTCTGTCGCTATTACATTAAGTGCAGGTAGAAAGTCTCCTAAACAAACCAGGGTTTTCTGTCTTGATTCCGACAAATACAGAAATAAAAGTTCCTAAGTGGGAAGTTAATTTTTACTTATGTTTTCAACTTCAATAAACTATAACTAGTGATTTAAATAAACTAAATTACAGTTAGAAATGTCTCTTCAATCTTCACGTTAGCTTTAGCATGGTTAGCTGCTGCTGCTAACATGGCTAAACATAAGTTGAATCATAAAACCTTTATATGAAGACAAGCATTTAGTTTCAAATAAAATGTATAAATAAATGGTTTGTTGGCCTTGAGTTATACAGTAACTACAAAGATTTATTATATACAGTATTGTTCTAGCAGTTACATGGTGTAGATGTAAACAACAAAAACATCTCTTGCCTGGTTAAGTTAATTTTAATATCACACTAAACTTTTTTTAGCTTTTATTAATTATTATTATTATTTTTTTAATTTTCTTTTCATTGAAAAGCACATTTGTATTTATACACCCAGATGTATGTTGCCTTTTTTCTTGTTTCGGCTCTGGTTAGAACTGGTTGTCACAGGTCATCAGAGGTTAAAGTGATGATGTTCTCCATAACCATGCCCTCCTCCTCCTCCTCTTTGTCCTAAAGTACAAAATCAAAACAAATTTATTCACAAAATGACATAATCTTCAGCAGCTTGTACTGTCTGATGAGGATTGTATCCATTTTAAGTCGTGTTATTTTAATATTTCAATATGAAATACAATCATGATTTGTAATGGGGAGAAAATAGAAAAAAAAGGAAAAATAATCTAAAATATAATTTAGCTTTTTTTTGCACCACATTTGAAAACGATTACGCAAAAAAATGTTTTTAGCTGGTATATTTTTAAATGTTTTGCACCAAACCCTTGACTACATTTTAGCCTTGTGGAAAACTTTGGCTAGCGTTTGTTGATTATATTTTCCTTTTTTAAATATTACTATTTTTATTTTCACCTGTATTGATTTGACTATTATATCTGTCTTTATTTCAAATGCATCCACAGGATGTTAGGACGATGAGGTCGTCCATCTGTCTGGTGGTGATACACAAACATCTGCAAAACAATTAACCTGAGTCTGGGGTCAGATTAAATAATCCCACCATGTGGAGGTCAAGGTTGTGTGACACACCTGATGATGACAGACAGACAGCCTGTCTGTCTTCAGAACACACACCTCCTCATCCACCTGCTGGTCGTGTGACACCACCGCCATAATAAACACAACTTTACTGCTGTATGTGCAGTTTTGCTTATTGCTTTCTTTTATTGCCCTTTCGCCCTCCCCTTCCCCACACGTCACCTTGCCTCGTCTTTGATGCTGTGCTGTATAATCAGTCATTTGCTTTAATAACTACCTTGCTCAGGCGCACTATCTGCAGCCACTTACGTGGTGTTGGCAGGGATCCTGCTGATCATTTAATTTTTATAGGTGACACGCTGCCAAAATCTGTTTATCTATCCTCCATAATTAATGTGCATCATCGTCGTCGTCCTGAAGCTGTCGTTCCCCAAACCCCCTTCCTCAAACGCTCAAAGGTCAGAAGGTGACAAGACGAGCTGATAAGGGTTGATGAGAATTTCGGGGAAATCATAATAAAAAGTCGACAGACAGAAGCGATGTTCTGCAGAGGCGATGTTTTCAATACGCTGATGAACGTGTGCTCATGTTTTTCAGATTGATGGTATTTTTTTTTTATCTGTTAATGTCGAGGACTGTGACCATGACTTACATCTTCTCTCGCTCTGTAGTTTTTCTCTGCGCTGCGATAGGACACCACATGGATCAGAGTGTAGATCCTGTGAACAAAAAGGCAAAATTATTTTTCAAAAACGCGTTTGAAAATAACTGAAAAGAAGGTGTGTGTTTGTACACACACCTGTGATAGAGCATCGCCAGGAACTGGATGAGGAGAAGGACGGCAAAAGACAAGAGGAACATCAGACTGAGAGGCTCCACCTGTCAACACAAATGCACGGTTTACAGTGCTGACCTGTGAGCTAGCCGTAGCTAACGGTCACAGACGATTGAATGTGTCACAGATCACACTGATCCATCGCGTGTAGTAAGACCTTCAGGTACTCTCCAGACTGAGTTCCGTTGGGGAAGAATTTTGGGATCTTGATGCTTATGACATCGTTCCCAATGGCCTGCAGGAAGAAGGTCGCGACCACCCACAGGACGTTGATGATGAAATATAGGAAGACGACCTACAGACAGACAGAAATACACTTTTTATACTTGTCTTTTTATTGATTTAACAAAAAATGAATCAAATATTGTTTTTTTAAAAAAACTAAAACTAGGTCTATTTAAATAGTGACCCATGGTCCATATTAGGTCAAGGCCCATTTTCAATGTGGCCCAGTCTATGGTCATTTGAGAAAAACAGGCAGAGAAACTAAGGCTACGTTCAAACTGCGGATCTTGTTGCGGACGGCTGGGGCAAACTACAGCCCGGGGGCCAGATGTGGCCCGCTTCTCTATTTATATCGGCCGCTCAAACTTGTCAAATTAAATTTATCATTATACTTCTGCCTTTTCTCTGCAATGTCGGCATTTCCGCAATAAATGGCGTTATAAAAATCTAAAAGCATTTTTATTGTATGTCTTTTACATGTCATTTATCATAATTATCGGGTCAGTTTCACATCATAGTTTCACAGTCAGCGTCAAACTGACCTTGTTGCGCAGTGACTTCAGTTCTCTGGTCACCTCCTCTTCGTGGGCTTCAGTGTTAACAATGGGCTTGAGGTAGCGCTTGATCAATTTGTCCCAGAAATCTTGCTCACCCTTTTACACACAAAGCACAATGTTGAGAGTTTGTTCGAACAAATGACAAAATATAAAAATAAATAAAATAAAATGACAATTTGTTCACAATCACAGCCACAGTTTTGCAGACACTTCAAGTCCTGTGACCCTTGACCCTTGACATCTATTAACCTGTACACAGGGACAGGGTTACACTCCACTCCACATCCTACCTCCTCAAGCCTCGGCACCAGGGGGGCAGTGAGTGTTTTCTCAATGGCTGTTATGACCCTCTTCTCCAGTTTATTCATTTTGCTGGTCTTCAGGATGCGGCGAGCCTGAAAGACGTCTGAATCACTTAAAAGGAAACCATAGATTGAACTCACCTGGTGCGTTTAGGTTTTTACTGCAGTACCTGCTCCGTTAGTGAGTATTCTAACTCCTCCAGCTGACCGCTGGTCAGGACATCCTCTGGTCTTTCTCCATTGAGGTGTGTGTTCAGAGTGTCCGTCAGCATTGCCACCAAATCGTCGCACACGTCACTATATTTTTTGTTGCGAAGTTTGAATCTAAGGAGAAAACGGACAACCAAAAAAAAAGAGAGGTAAGAACAATTTGTGATATTTAAAAACAAAACGTTTTACAGCCACAGCTGAATGTTGATGATACTTGTCTCACTCTAAGCTGAATTATTGCTGTAGTTTTCAGTATTTTTTGGCTTACTTTTTTTCCCCCATGAAAGTTTGTTTGGCCTAAATTAGCATTAGCCAAACATTTTATTTCGGCTAATGCTAAGTTTATTGGCTAACTTAAAAGTGTATAGTGACTTTACTTTCATATCCCAGCAGCAGATCTTTGTTAACGCAGGCCATAGATTCTAATGTGGAAGTTAGATTAAAGTTAACTGAATTTTACAATAATACATCGGCTCCAGCAATGAATCCAACAAACACCTTTTCACTTTCACCGTTATGACAAAGTGTAGCATAAGTTCCATTTGAATGCAAATCAGCAGAATTTATTGCACTCTGGGCAAAGCTGCTCCAGTACTATGTAGGAGTCTAAATGTGGGAACACTGCTGACGGATTATAAAGTTTAATATATTTTCCTTTTAATACACAAATTCCTAAAACCTTGTTTTAAGGACAAGAGTTTTTTTTAACCTTGTTTTAGGGACAAGGGTTCGCTAGGAACTCGTTGTGCAGCTGAGATTTGTCAAAATTGGAATTGTAAAACACATTAATGCCTCTTTTTTGTGTAGTTCTTTTTTAATCTTCTCAGAATAATAGTAATAAAACCTCATCGTGATGCCATTTACCGAACCGTCTTCTTCAGATGGTGTCACCTGGTATCGCTATAAAAGATGTGCATTGTTGGAAACTGTCTTGTGCTATCAACGGACAGAAGACTGCGGCAGCCTCACATCTCTCTGAGATGTAAGATAAGTGGAATGTAGTGTCATAAATGATTATTTGTTGCAGGGAAGTCCAAAAGTAATTTTAGCAGCGTAGCAGTCCTTGTGTTCGTGATAAGATAAAATCTAGTGGAAAATTCTGTGAGAAGTTCTTTATACGAATTCCATAAGAAGTAATCCTGTAGCTTATAGCATATCACCGCCGCATTGTTCAACTTTAGTAGGTCGTGAATGCAGTTACTGCAGTTTGTTGGAAAGCCGTGGCCTGGCTCCTCTGTCTGATAAGGAAAGAAAGCAATAGAGGATATAGAACAATATGGTCATCAGGCCAATTTACTTAAACTTACCAGCAATCATGAGAGTCACAGATGCTGGTCCAAGAATTGAAGAACAAACTGCAAACATCTGGTAGAAAATGTAGAACGTAGAGATGGATGTGTTCTTCTTCACCGTCTCTTTACCGCTGCAACAAACCACGACGAGGAGAACATGTAACATACTGTGATGGAATGTTGACTTTGTAGATTGGTATTTTTGTTGCAGTGATGATGAGACAGTATTGTGGGAGGCCACAGGGTTCAGTAGTTTTGTTCCCTCATTTTGTTCCCTCACAAACCTGTGTAAGAGGTCCAGAGTGTGAGCCAGCGTCGAGGGTCCCCAGCGTCTTCGCTGGTTGTAAAACTCTTTAAACTCCTGTGGTGAGTTAGTGTATACGTCGGAGGCGGCGTTGTATTCCACACGCCATCCTTGCTGCAGTAACAGTGTGCACAGCCATCGATCCTCACCTGGTGAGGAACACATGACATGAAGAGACGTGACAGTCCAACACAAATGGACAAATGGACACTAGAATGATTAGAATTTGCCTCTCCTATCATTTTTTCTTCCCTCATACTGTGACTGAAACACGTCTGAATATTAGCTTTCACTGAGCAACTGAAGGTTATAATTTCAAACCTTACATATATTTGGTGAAGTGTAAACATTTGGTATGCACGAGGCTCTGATTGCTTGGCAATTTTCTTTTTTTTAAGACCACATTAATCAACACATTCTCTGAGGAGATCCTCTCCCTGTAGCAGCAAACACACTTGTATCCTCTGAAAGCCACTCCATGTGAATATGACATGAGATTTTCAGACATGGAGCTGAAAACTGAAGGGACTGATGGGAGTTGTTTGAACGTATGGATGTCGCCCAGAGGAAGACACTCTGTGGTTCAGTGGTGGAGTGTGTCTCCCCATATGGGATTGGAGCCGATTTCAGTAAATGTAAGGAGAACTGTCACCTGTCAACCAGCAGGATCACAGCTTTGGGGTGGAAGTCAGTGTCTCCATCTAGGGCCAGGAGGTATGTGTTTTCATCGGAGATGAATTTCCTCTTGTGGTCATTGTCATGGTGAGGCAACACAAAACTTTCACCATTCATGGAAAACAAACTGGTTGTACTCGGGTTCATCTCACGCTGGATGAAGGAAACAGAAAAACAAAATCAGCAGCCTGCTAACCTCCAGTTACCCCTGGTGGCTGAAACACTTACAGGCATCGCAGAAGGGTTCTTGGCCATGTAGCCTTTCCATCCAAGAAGATAATACAGATACATGATCTGAAAGACAAATACAGTTCACTTATGTAAAAACCAGCTGTTAGAGAAATTAGTCTCATATTCCTATAACAGAAGATTCAAATCAAGAATACCACCAGATTAGCCAGATAGCCAACGTTAGCAGAGAGATAACTGAACTCTAAACAATAATGGAAAATTAATTCAAGAAAAGTTCGAGTTAAGGATTAGCCAGGACTTAGTCAAAGTGATTTTAGAAATGGCTAAAAGTCAGCGAAAAAAAAAAAGTCATTAAAGAAAATTTAAAGAATCTAAAAGTTAGCCAAAGGTATGTTAAATAAAAACGGTTTAAAGGTACAGTCTGGAATCATGAGTGCGCTGTACCTGTGACCATCTTTTCTTGTTTCTGATCAGACTCTTGTCTTTGAGGTGAATGCCCAACATGTTGCCTTCAGGCATCACAACCATCAGCCTGCCTCCGTAGGGCGTCTCGATGATTGACACGTCGTCTGGCTCCTAACATGGTCTTCATGTTAGGCTTCACGAAGCTCTTGAAGGTACATCTCCACAGTGACTTTATGAACACCAGGACGTTGGGTCACACCAGGCAGAAAACCAGCATCAGCATGTAGAACTGCTTTTCCTTTGGGTTCCGCATGGAGGTGGGAGAGGACAGTGTGGACAAGACAAGCAGAGAGCCCTGATTGGACAGAGGGACAGAGACATGTTGTGAGAAACAACCACACTTAGCCCTGGGTTCATCATCAGCTCCTGAATATGACTCTGTCGTCATAACTTAGCATCGCAGGCATTTGTCATAAAGTTTAGCAACATTTATATATAGCTCCTGTATATACAGACTGGTTTGACTGGAATCTGAAGGAGTCTCTATGTTATATATTGACGCTGCATTCTAGTAAAGACACAAAGCTGTGATTGCTAGAGATATTGTCTTGCTTTTACGGCAGCGATAGCGTTTTAACACGTACTCAATGTTACCAGTAGCAGCTCTCCACATGAAGCCATAAATCTGGACTGCTCTCTTCACCGACGCTGTGTTTCCATATGCAGAACAAACCAAAGTATGTGGTCTATAACAAAATGAGTTAATGAGTAATGCACACTGAGCAATAAAACCTGGAGGCTTTTATTTGCTGAAGAAACCGTATGATATACTATGTGAGCATCCTTTGCACCTTATTACATAATAGTTCTAATGCTAATATGGGACAAGGAAGGGCACAGAACTGCAGTAAAAACTAAGGATGGCGCTATAAAACTTTTTCATGACTGATACTGATACTGCAACTTAGAGCATCTGCCAATGCCGACATCAACCCCACGCCTTCTGCTCTCCTGCAGCATGCTGCGGGCGGCTGTTGCTGGCGGAGTTAAGTTGAGCATTTTGGCCAAAGTATCGATCCGATATTGGTCAAAAAT